AGGTAAGCTTGCAATGATGGAAACCAGAACACAAATTAGAAAATATCGAAAATGTTGCAAAAGGAAGAAAGTGCTAGCTGCAAGGAAACGAAAATAGCGGCTAAAGCCCCTTCGCCTTGCCCAGTTGCCCTTCGGTTCCCTGTAGCATGCAAATGTCCCGTCCCTTGACTCGAATTCCCCTCTGTGACATTTAATACGGTGATTAGAAATGAACTTGAAATTGTTTTGTGGCACTAAAAAATTGTATGGCGGTAGCCTGGGAGCTGCTGCCGGGTTATTTTATGACTTGTTTGTTTTCCTGATTTCCTTTTTTGGTTCTACGCTGTTTTACTAATAAAAGATTGTTTATTAATTTGGTTGTCTGCCCCCAAAGCTGCACCCTGCACAGGCCCGCCTTCTCGTTACAAAAGACTAAGAAACACAGTTTCATGATAATAAAATAACAAAGATTAATAAACGGGCAAGGAATAATGAAGTATCAGGACTCCAAAGCAGCCAGATAATGGGCATAGTGATTCGCTTTAGTGTTGTTACTGGATGTTTCCACACGCCCAACGCAGTTACGCTTGGCCCTATGATTTTGAACAGTATTTTTCCAGTTGGTACCCAATAAGAAAATTATTGGCCAACGCACGGGCTGTCCGTGCAAAGATGCGTTTTTTGTATAGTTCCCCACAGTTTTTGTCGCTAACGGCACCGACTTTTTCGGCAAATGCTTCTAGCTAAACAAATTTTGACTGGCCGCCAGAACTGCCAAGAAACATCCCCTTAAAATTTCAGCTTTCTAGCTTTTCTGACTCCTACGTTAGCAATTTAGTGGAAGAAAACTTTCACGGACCCGCACGTGGGTATCACGCATGTACGGAGGCTGGGTTTGAGCTCTTTAATACCTACTTGGACGGGGAACATCTCCTTCAGATTTCAGTTTTCTAGCTTCTCAGATCCCCGAGTTATGAACTTACCCAAAAAAACTTTGGTGGCCCTGTACGCGGGTACCGGGCTTACCCGGGGGCTGGGTTTGAGCTCATTAATACCTACTTGGACGGGGAAAATCCTCTTAAAATTTCAGCCCCCAAGCACTTCTGGTTCCCGAGTTAGCAGCTTACCCGAAAAAAGCTTTGGCGGGCTCTAACGCGGGTACCACGCTGGGGAGACCGCCAATTTTGGGGATTGTGGCCCGTACGTGCATGTAGATTAAGTTCCCAAAGTTTCAGCCCTGTAGCTTTTGTAGGACTCGAGATGAAAATCGGTACAGAGGCCCAGCGCACACACGGACAGACACGCACACACACACACACACACACACACACACACACACACACACACACACACACACACAC